AAATCAGGAACTGTTATTGCATAAAATCCTGTGTCCACATTAAGTGCTTATTCAATAGATGGCAAGCATTATATCTTACAGATATCATAAACCAGATACATACACACACACACATACACACACACAAACACACATTGTGTTTAAGGCTCACTTCCTGAAAGATTTTATCCACTTTTTAATTTTTTTTTTCAGTTGACATACACTATTTATTAGTCTCAGGTGTACGTTCTTACCCCCTTTTAATTATTTCTCTAGATTTTTATTTATAAATTGCAGTGCTCTTAGACAAAAAAAAGTGAAAGAAAATTTCTAGGCATTTATGTGAACAGTTAAGTAAACCAGGATTCTGACTCAAACTATCTACACTTATTTACTTGAGTGTATGTTTGTCGACACTTCTACTACAAAGGTGTAAATGTTGAAGAAAACAGGACTTGGAAGTACAAAATCATTGACAAGAGCCAGGACAAGTCATGAGCTTTTGTCTGTATGCTGTGTTGTACTCTTGAATTATTTTAAAGTCCAGAGTAGAGACTGTCTGATTGAACCTAACTTACCTATTATAGTAATAGAATAAGTAACTTAGTCATAGATGAGAGGCCATGGGTATTTATCAAAACATTTTACTTTTGTAAGTTGACTTACTCTTTTCACACATACAAGTTAAAGTGGCACAATGAGGCATAGTTCTTTTGTAGATAGGCATAAATGAGGCATAAATCTTTTGTAGATTTCCCCCAAAACTAAAATCAGTAGGACATAAAAATACAGCCTAGAGCACATGAGCCCAGGCAAAGACCTGGGTAACTGATTTGCATGTGGACTAAGAATGCTAGTGATGTTTTGGTTTTCCTTGGAAACTCTTAGAGTAGACGTCTGAAGCTAATTTGGATTGTAGATAAGCTGAGCTAAAGCAAACAGGGCCACATTAGCCTTTTGTTCCATTGGCTCTTAATCATTGCCTTTTGTAACCCATCGGGAACTATTGTTATGTTCCTTTGGGTCCCTGGCCTTTACTTTAAAAATGCACATGATACTGTCTGCTTGGTTAAAAAATACTGAGTGATTTCTGTTATTATAATATCAAGGCAAAGATAAAGTTTTCAGCTTCAGACATTTTGGACTGGGTTGAATCATTGTATTTGGTTTCCATCATATAGCTAGAGATGTTGACTTCATAATAATGGTCGGTCATAAGGTCTAAAACCCAACTCTGTTATTTATAAATTAAAGAGTTGATTCATGGAGGCATGAAAACACTGGAAAAGCAATTGTGAATAACAAAGGACACATGATTCCTACTCCTTGGATTTGTGAAAGCTGATGATATGGCAAGAGATAGAAAAAAAGTCTACTGGTTTTTGTTTGTTTCCTTAAAAAAGTGAATATAATACTGTACAGATATGTAATTTTAGAGGTTGAGACTATTCCAGTACTGCTTTTTGGTTACTAGACTATGTCTTGGTGTCTTGGTGCCATCATTTGTACACCTACACATTTACATTTTCATTACTTTTGTAACCTCATTGTTGTACAGGCAGAAATAAAAAAGGAGGTGAATTCTAGGCAACTTTGTTCCTCTTTAGCAGTTCTTAAAAGAAAAGTTCAGTGTTTTACTATTTAAAGAGTACCCTGTATGAATTAGTGATTGTCTGTGAATTCTAATGACCATAGCCCCAGGTAACTACTACTAGTATGTTTCAGAAACAATATGTTATCTCTGTCTCCTGCACTCAACACACCTATTCTCTGGTTTAGTTATTTGTGTGTTATTAACCTATTTTAGGAATTTGTAAGCTTTTTGGTGTTATATGCAGAAAGGTATATCAATATTTACATTTTTCTGGGAAGAGGATCCATACCTATCACCATGGGCTAAATAAATAAAACATTAACATCAGTATCTCAAACCATTAGAAAATATGTTTTATGCTCCTTGATAGAATTTAAGCAACCAAAACAACAGGAATTGTATTTGTTACTGATGTATTTTCCTTATCAGTTGGCAATGGTCCCTTCTGTAAATACTTTTGCACAGGTGGATTTCAGAATTGCATGAAGCTTGGACTAATTTCTTTGGCCTGGTACCCTACAGTAGAAAGTTAGGAACTTTGGTTCCATGTTTACCTCCTTCTGGCAAAATAAGTTTGTTTTATGAAACAATGGCCACTTACTTACTTTATTTAGTCTCCTTCCCCACTCAAACTTTTATCAAGTCTAAAGAAGGTAGGATATAATTGATGGATTGAAATTATCTACAAATAATTCCTGAGATAAAAGAAACTGAAAATATCCCTCCACGTTATGTGCAAAAGTGGTTAGATACCTGCAGAAGCTAAGTCATCCAAAGTTCAGTTTTTTTACAAAGTTTCTTTCAGATGGTGATTTCCACGTTAAAGAAAAGTTAGTAATTCAGAAAGGAAAAGTGTACAGAGTCTTTGTGAAGAAATGTGACTCTTGTCCCTAAAGAGTAATTTAAATGCGAAAAAAATAAATGCATATGATATATTCAACAAGAATATCTCCCTGACTGGAAAAGAGAAACTGATCTGGTAGCATTCCTATAGTGTTTGACTTCCCCAAGAATCAGGATCTGAAGCAAATAGGAACAGGATAGAAGATCAAGACCACAATTATCACAAGGCCCTTTCAAATTGCATATCACCAGGCACTAGATAAAATCACCCAACTAGGTAGCGTTTTAAAAAATTCACCTAGTCATATTAGCAAATTAATTAACAAAGATGAGCCATATGATTACAATGTTAGTGATCTCTTCTCATTAAAACCTATGAAATATTTTTATTTAACTGTAATTGGTACTTCCAGTGTATAGGAAGTGGATATTTAAGTGGATTTTAATTGCTTCAGAGAAAATGTGTACTATTTAACAGGAGATTTCATCCTACTGGTTAAAAAATAATACGGTCAGTAATCAGATAGTGAATATAAACAAATAGGCAAGAGAATTTTGCTGTAAAAATGTGAACACAAAGTGATCGCCTTATAACTTTTGCATTCTATACCTATCTTGTTCTTATTTATAGCTATGTTAACCATTATAGAATTATTGTTCATTCCTATGGGTCTAGACCCAGAAGGTCAGGTGCCAAGACCAAGTTAAAAGAGTCCCAACACTCTTGGCATGAATGTATCACCCCCAGACTCATTGGGCAGTGACTGTTTACCCTGGACCATTTTAACTCACCCCCTAAATTTTTCTATGGTTTCTGGAACCTCCTGAAAGTCTTCCGTGGAGTAGAACTATGGTACTCAACCCATAGTGTGCATCAGATATTAGTATCAAAGTAGACTGAGTTCACCCTCTTAATAGCTGAGAGTCTAAATCCAGCAAATGCATAGGATATTATTAAAAATGATCTCATTGATTTTCTAGACCATTAACAAATGCTGGACCGCATACAAACTATCATGGGTTCTGATCCCAACAGATGTCCTTTCTAAACACCTGTTGGAGTGAACTCTGCCATTGGCCCTTTAAATGGGATGGAGTTTTAATTTTCCAAAAGTAGTGATGCAGTTGGCATGCTAGAAATGCACATTTGCTGCCTGTGTTCCATTCTAGTAAACAATCTCCTGAATTACTATGTTGATCTCTTGATTGTGTATTGAGAGATGTCTACAAATACCATTAGGATTGACCGGTAGTCTTGTTTATAAGGCTGTGTTAGAGGGAGTTGATTTCACATAATTAGCCAATAATGAAAAACATTGCTTTTTTACCTTCTCATGATCTATCAAGAATTGACTTACTAAAAACTAGAACTGTAGTTGTAAACTGGAGAATGTTGAAAGCTCACCTAGAAAGCTGTTTCACATTTCTCCCAAGTGGAGAGTCTAAATTTGTGCTTAGTTATAATGGAATCGGTAAAATGTTCTGCAGCTTCACTCCAGACATGCCTGTGGATGGTTCTGTCCAAAAACTGGCATAAACAAGCTGTGTCAGTATCTTTATCTCTAGCAAGTTCATCGTGTCTATCTATGGTGCAATACTGAATCAGGTACCGCCTGGCTGAAGGTCATGGGTTACACATAGCTATTCAAATACTTTATTTTGGGGACAGCTGGATCACTCCCTGACCTGACTTTCATGAGTGGGAGGATCATCTTCATCGTTTTGCCTTCCTGCCCTTTCTAAAAATAGTAGGGCCTTTAACAAGGAGATATTTTAAGCAGCTCATATTCACTCGTCTCATCAGGAGATGCTTATTTTGCATCTGACACACTCGCATGTGTCCGATTTGCATGTGTGCATCGTTAGACCTTGAGAGCCCCGTCCATGCTTTTCCCATCACTCATATAAGAAACTTGCACACATAAAGACGCTGGGATTACCAGCTGAGAGTCAGTGGGTAAACATAAACGAAGGGAAGACACTTTTTAGGAATGCGAATATGCTGCTGAGACGATCCATTGCAGGCCTTTGCACATCAGCCCTCAGCTTTTCGGATCTGTTTTCGTAAGACCTGGCTGGGATTTCACTTCAGAGACCTCAATGATCTTGCTGCTTTTAGCAAATATTTATAGGAGCCACTGCCAGCCTGTGGATAAGGGAAACTAATGAGAAACTGCCTTCCAAAATCTGAACAGCAAAACCAAAACCAAGCAAATCCAAAAAATCCAAAACAGAACCACAAAAGAACAACTCAGACAATCCGTGCTCACAAGAAGACGCGGAGAAAAAGACCAAGATGTAACTTTGCTTTGATAACTGGATTTATCAGTCACAGGACGGGCATGCAGTGGGTACTTTGTATTTTTCTCCTTTGAAAAAAAAACAAACACAAGTGCAAATCTATGTTTTGCTGCACCAGTGGGACCAAAAGAGTATGAGTGTGAGAAAACACAGACTCTAAAAGCAAGATGGAATGTAAGCAGGTAAACCCTGTTCCACAGTCTTGTCATTCCACTACAGTTGTGCGTGGTACTCGTGTTTGCACCTCTAAGAAATTTCCATTTTTTCGCATCAAAAAATCCAGATACGAAGCCGAGGCTGCTTTCTTCGCCAACCTGAAGCTGTCTGATTTCAACATCATCGACACCCTTGGCGTTGGAGGTTTCGGACGAGTAGAACTGGTAGGTCATTGTTCTGTGAATGCCTTTGAAAGCCTGTCTCTTCCTGCTCTACTTCTTCTCCGTAATAAGATTTCTCTCTTTTCCTCTCTCATCTTTAAATGCTATGGTTCCTAACTTGGTACCAAAGAATTTTATATCAACACATGGGGAGTTTGCAAAGTGGGCTATATTAGGTAGCCAATAAACTAAAAATACAATGAATACAAATTTACTTTTTAGAAAACCACCTTAGAGGAAGTGAAATGTAAAGACATTTACATAATGAGGAGTCACAAAGTGCTTCTTCTTACCCAGCTGATATTCTATGATCTTTATTTGCTTCCACAGTTCTGAGCAGTGCTTACTATTTTAATTATGTGCTCTATCCATAATCACAATAATTAAAATGTAAGTTTAAGTATATATAAAGAGAAATTATATATATATATATATATATATATATATATATATATATATAGTAATCCTTACCACTGCTTTAAAAAAAAGTCAAGTAAATGCTGTTAAAGTAATAATTCTGTGATTCTCGAGTTTCGAGCACCTATACATATCTAACATTATTTGGTAATATGGTTTGAATATTTTATACAATTTATTTCACACACACATACAGCTAAGTTTTCATGAAGGTGATGAAGACATTTGGGTACAAGTTCATACATTAAACACATTGCATGCATGTGATATAAAGCAAATGAAATCATGCTCTATCATGCTTTTGTTTGAAATATAAGTTTAAAAAGTGACATTGCAACAAAAATTTTTAAAATGCATTCTGGTTACTGTATTGCTGCATTTCAACCCTGTGGGAAAGAAGCCTATCTGAGCACAGAGGTTAAGTTCCACCTCTCTGCTGACATGGAGGAGTCCCTGATATCAGGCGCCAGTACAGTATGTTAGGGACTCCCTGCGACTGTGTAGTAAACAGTTACTGTTGCCACCAGGGGACCGGAGAAACCCCCTTCCATGACAGTATATTCAGTCCAGCGCTATTTTTGCTATTTGTCCAGTTGAGCTACAATTGGGACTTCTGACTCTGACAGGTAGTGAGATGTTATTTACTTAAAGATTAGACACGAAGGCTTTTGAGCCACAGTGTGTTTCACTAAATTTGTATTATGTCTCCCTTCACACGGAGGTATTTTAGTAATACTACATCTGCCTTCTGCCTTCTGAGGGTGCCTCTGAGGATCTAAGCATTTTTAGTTCGAGGAGGAAAAATCAAGTTAGGGCCCAGCAAAACCTCTCGCTTTTCTGAATCTGGCCAATTCATGCAGTCCTGGATTTATTTGTAAAGAACCTTTAGTTCTGTTCTAGCTAATGAAGATTTATTAACAGTGTTACACATGAATAGCTTTGCACGTGGGATGGAGGGACATTGATGGAGGACAGAGGGAGGAAAGAGCCCCTTGCCATGATGCGTGTAGTGTCTGGTGAGTTTATTGACATAGTTGTATGTGCCTAACCCCCTCTCTGAATGAAGCGGTATATAAAGGACAGAATTTCCAAGAGACCGAGTTTGTGACTGTTATATTTTCTTAAATATTTTTTAAACAATATGGAGAATAAAATTGCTGTTTTAGTTGACAAAGAAACATCAACACAACAACATTGCAACTTTGTGGAGTCCTAGAGAGTTGTGAACCTTCAAGTTACCAGTGAGATATTTTATGAAATGCAATGTAGGAATTTTTTGCAATATTGAGAGTTACTCGTCAACACTGAGAACACTTCAAGCTGGACAATTAAATGCCAAGCAGATAATGTAACACTTCCGGAAAATTCACTTGAAAATATCTGAGGTGGCACAAGCAACTAATGACATAATTAGGGAAGGTTCAATGTGGACATTCAAAAAAATAATGCAATTTAAAAAGAATGTATGTGTGTGTGTTTTGTGGTTGTGTATGTCTGAGTACCTATATATTTATGCATCATCTCCATCAAGGAGAGATAGTCAACAGTACTTCAGCCTAATTTTCTTCTCAAGGGTATTACATTTTACTTTTACACGGATGTTTATAGACGAATGAAGGCCATAACCTCAGGAATTAATGTGTGCAAAACTTTAGATACAATGAAAAAATCCATACATAATGGGTCATTAAGGCAAGAGGCACATGTCCTTAACCTCAGAAGTGATGTCATCTTACGTAATCTTGCATTTCCCAAAACTCACCAAGGGATAATCATAATACGCAGATTTTCTTCACTGTTCTATGCGGATTAGCCTTTTAACTGATGATTACACTAGAATCCAATGCTCACGGTCTTTACCACTTACTAACTGCCAGATATGTTCATCTCATTTTGCATAATGGCATAGCCTTCAGAGACTTCTTAGCATTCTTATCATTGATGTCAGCTTAAATGAACTTTGATGCAGGAGTATTGCTACATGGTTTATTGCCAATTTCTAGAGATGGGAACATAATTCTGGTACAAACTTAAGTATTTGTTCAATTTGTTAAGAAGCTTAAAGTAAAGAAACGTCTCTGCCCATGGGAATTCTGCTCTTAGGCTATTCAGGCTATTTCATAAATACGTTTAGAATAACCGATTGTAACTAGTTTAATGTCAGACATGTCCTGTTCACAATGCCTTTTAAGTCATCTGTACTGCTTTCTTTCCTGTTTTTTGGCATATCCCATATTTTCTGCCCATGTTTTTTTATTTTAAAGAATGGACTTAATGCATTCAGCGCTACCTGTTTATAGTCTATCTTTCAGAAAGCCACATTTTATTTATATAATATTTTTAGGAAAAGAATTCAGCTCTCTTTTTATATATGATTTACTAATTAAAGTAGAGACATCTAGGCGAGCCTCTTAATTTCTAAGGTGTGACCGTAAAATACGAAGCTTGACTCAACAACTCACAAGGAAACATCAGCCCCGTTGCTCTATGGTCACACTCCTCATTTACTCTACTTTTGCTCTTGTTAGAGAGGAGCTTACGTTTCAAATAGATTTTCACGCCTCAGACTGTTTCATCTGGCAGTGTTATGTGCTGATTTTATTAAATGTCAGATACTAAATCTATTTATCCAGCAATCCACTACCTCCCATACCAGAACAACATACTTGGACAAAATATAGGAACAAAGATATGGAAGATATAATTACTGTCTCCTTGGATTAGATCCCTTCTCCATCACTTTTATACGCTTATGTAGTGAGCTCTTTGCTGCAATCTATAAAATTTAATCCGAAACAGCACTACCTCCATGGACTCGCCATCTGTCGGAAGGGACACTTATGTAAACTAACCAGTAAACTCATGATCAGAGTCTGAGAAGCACGTGCTCAGGCCACCAGGAACAATGTTTCTTCAAAGAGGTGGCATTTCTCTGATGGAGGGAGCGTTGAGTCAGTGACATAAAAAAAAAGAAACATTATGATAGACTCTTATAAAATGAAACCACTGCAGGGTAATTTATTAAGAAACTGATACTAACAATGTTTATTAATAAGTTGGTATTACTTCCTAACTAAAATAAGCCTTTCATTTGAACCCTGCTTTATAATCTCCAGATGTTTTCATACCCAGTATATGATTTTGCCTTGATAGCTATCTTGGGAGGAAAACATGGGGCAAGATCTACATTTTACAGGAAAAAAAATCAAGAATAAAACATATAAGTGACCTAAGAACATGCAGTCATTGAAAGATCTGTTGTGGTTGCCCAGAACTACTAATTAGATAGATGATAGAGATAGATAGATAGATAGATAGATAGATAGATAGATAGATAGATAGATCGATCTCAGAGAGGAAGGGAGAAGGAAAGAGAGATAAAACATTAATGATAAGAGAGAATCATTGATCGGCTGCCTCCTCCATGCCCCCTACTGGGGATTGAGCCCTCAACCCAGCCTTGTGCCCTGACCAGGAATCGAACCATGACCTCCTGGTTCATAAGTCCACGCTCAACCACTGAGCCATGCTGGCTGAACTGATTTTTTAATGAAAAGCTTTTCCTATTATCTGGATTCTAAAATGATTTAGTTCCTTACCTCCAACAGCCACCACGGAAGTAAATGTTACTTCACTGTCACATGTACACCTCTGTTTAAAAAAATCTTCTAGAATTCAAGAACCCGCATTAGACATAAACCTAGAATTAAATACTATAATTGTGCTACTCATCTTTGCTTCTGTCAAACATTCAGAGGCTTTTCCTTCCCTGAATCTTTTGCTGCTCCTAGTGGTTGTAAAATGTCTGTGGAGCAAAAAAAAATCAGATAGTAATGTGGTGCTTAAAAGCTAGAGCACTGGATGGAGACTTCTGGATTCAGCCCTACCAGCTGTGTCATTTACTTAAACCTTCTGAATCTTAGTTTCCGCATCTCTAAAATGAGGGTTACATAGGTATGTATCCCACAGGATTGCAAAGAGAATATGAATTAAAACCCCCCAAATGGTACCTCACATGTCATAGGTCAGTATGTATTGCCAATGTTCCTATAGTAATTATTAATATTAAAATATGCCAATGACACCTATCTTTATTATTTCCATCTATTGCCATAGAAAGGGAAGGGAATGGAATGCTTATGCTCTTTTTTCCTCCCATTTCCAGGCTAAGCCCTGACTATAAGCATTTCTCCCATAAGAAAGAATGACCTTCGGTGATAGCGTGTAAGAAATTCCCCCAACCACTAAAGCTCCTTTCTTTCTGATCTGTCATGAGTGGAGATGGGAAGCAGTTTTCAATTTTCCTCACACTGAACCTTTGTGTACCTGAAATAGTCTGCTCTTATCTGTCCATTTCTCTCCTAAATTGTAAAGCCCCACATCTTAACCTCTCAATGAGAAATCATTTTCAGGTGCAAACTACTGAATCATATCCAGTTTTCCCCACAGCCCTCTGAAACCTCTTATTCCTTCTAGGCCACAGTCCTAGGGTCAGATTGCCCAGGAAGGGGCCATGTGCAGGTGGCAAGAAGCCTGCCACACTCAGGCAACCACATTTACTTAACAGGGTCCACTCCACTCCCATG